CCTCACCAGCATTTGTTGTTTTCTGCTCTGTTGAATTTTGCTATTCTTACTGGGGTAAGATAATATCTCATAGTTGTTTTGATTTGCATCTCTCTTACAGCTAGGGATTTTGAACATTTCTTCATGTGTTCGTTCACCATCTGAATATATTCTTTGGTCAAGTGTCTGTTCATATTCTGTGCCCATTGTGCAGTTTGGTTTTTTACCTTTATCTTGTCTCGTTCGAGCATTCTATAAATTCTAGATATAAGTCCCTTATCAGATCTGTCATTATCAAATATTTGTTGGAGAAGTTTTTGGATGTGCATAGGGTTTTGATTTTTAGGAGGTCCCATTCATTATTTTTATCCTCTCCTGGTTGTAGGCTTTTCAGAATGCTTGGAAGACTGTTCAAGTTGTGGATTAGTGCTTCTAGGGTTCTTCCAAGCTTTTTTCTAATGAAGTTTATAGTCTTGGTTTTAGTCCTAGGTCCTTGATCCACTTTGAGTTGGTTTTTGTGTATGGTGTTAAGTGTGGATCTTGTTTGAGTTTTCTGCAGATGGTTTTTCCAATTTTGCCAACACCATTTATTAAAAAGACTGCTGTTTCCCCACTGGTTTCATCTCCTTGTCAAAAAAATCAGTTGACCATGGGCTGGGTTTCAGGTTCTCAATTCTATTCCATTGATCTATGTGTCTGTCATTGTACCAGTACCATGCTGTCTTGAACACCACCACAATGTAGTAGGATTTGAAATCAGGGAGTGAGATACCTCCTACCTTTTTTCTCTTTTTAAGGAGTGCTTTGCCAATTCGGGGTTTCTTTCCATTCCAAATGAAATTGGAGACTGCCTTTTCCTTCTCATTGAAGAATGGAATTGTTATTTGTATTGGGATTGCATTGAATGTGTAGATTGCCTTTAGTGAGATTGTCATATTCACAATATTGAGTCTTCCATATATAGGGGTATAGCACTGGTCTGTCCATTTGCTGTACAGAGGTAACTTGTGGTTTGCTGTACATGATTAGAGAGAGACCAGTTGGCCTAGTGGACCGAAAGTGATGCTGCCAAGCCAACGGTCGGTGACCCTAATCCACAGCCCTCCGGCCTCTATTTAATTGTTTTTGGTCAAACATTCTTCTAGGTCATATAGCCCTGGTGTGTCCACTTGACATACAGAGGTAACTTGTGGTTGCTGTAAAGCTGAACACTGTGACACTGATGTGTCAAATATGATAATGGTTGCCCAGAGTGGGCGGTATTTGGTGGAGCTCCCCGATTAAAACAAGCTTGGAAGCAGGAGTGGCATCCACTTCTGTAAATAGCTTGTGTCCGGAAACCCTATGAACCTGGAGGAAGGATGAAAGTCATGCAAGTGTCGAGGACTTTCATTCATAGGCTCGCTATGAGCCGCCTACAACTCGACAGCACTTAACAACAACATCAGGTTTTTTTGCTGTTCTTTTTCAACTTGTTGGAGATGCTGGGTTAAAGAGTCAATATTTTTTTCTGTCTTTTAATGAGTGTGCTTATTGCTATAAATTGACTCCTAATTACTGCTTTGGCTGTTTCCCAGAGGTTTTGGTAAGTTGTGTTTTCATTGTCATTTATTTCAAGAAACTTATTAATTTCATTTTTTATTTCTTCTAGTACCCACTCATGTTCAAGAAAGGTGCTGTTGAGCTTCCAAATGATGGGTTTTTATTCTTTATTCTCTGTTACTAATTTCTAATTTTGTAGCATTGTGGTCTGAGAAGATACTTTGTATTATTTTATGCTTTTGAATTTATTGATGCTTGTGTTGTATGCTAAAATGTGATCTATTATGGAGAACAGTCCATGCATATTGGAGAAGAAGGTATACTGTGATTTTTTTTTTGGCATATTAGCCTATAAATGTCTATGAGATCACGTTGGTTTATTTTGTGGTTTAATTCTTTAGCATTTTTGTTGAATTTCTTTCTGGAAGTTCTGTCTTGTCTTGAGAGTGGTGTATCAAGTTGATGAAGTCTCCAACTACTTATAGTAATGTTGTCTATTTCCTTTTACAGTTTTGTTGATGTTTGTTTTATAAATTTTGCAGGTCTTTTATTTGGTGCATAGATATTTATTTTTATTCTGTCTTCTTCTATTGACCTCTTAATCATTATATAGTGACCTTCCTTGTCCTTTATGATGGTTTTCACATTGAAATCTATTTTATTGGAAATTGGTATCACCACTCCTGCTTTTTTCTGGTTGCCATTTACTTGGTATATTTTTTTCTCACCCTTTTATTTTCAGTCTTTATTTTTCAAGTGTGTCTCTTATAGACAGCATATTGATGTGTTGTTTTTTGGGGTTTTTTTATCCAGTCTGTGATTTTTTTTTCTCTTCAGTGGTTCATTTAAACCATTTACATCCAGTGTGATTATTGAGAGGCAAGATTTTGTTGCTATTCAATGATAGTATTGATATTCTAAACATGTTTTATCATGCTAGATATCAAAGTGATAGTTATTTGGACAATTTTTGAAACTGTTTTTGTTTCTTTAGGACATGTTCTATTGTTCTTGTTATGGATCTTTCAAAACCTAATGACCTTTGGCCTACCATGGAAAACCTGTTGCAAGTCACAAAAAACCACATAGATAAAATGATAATGAAACTGGGAAAGACAAACTCTAAAGCAACTTTGGAAATGCGACAGAAGATGTGGAGTAATATGCCAAAGGATCATCCAGTGAGTCACTTAAGCCCACACATACATAAAGATAACATCATAAACAACTTCTTCAGGTTCTTATACATTACTTGAAAAAGCAATTTAATAAACCTTCAATTAGATTTGTTTTTTATGACTAACATTTCAGAAAGTTATGCTACCAAGCCAAAGTTGGGTGATTTTAATCTGCGGCCCTCAAGCCCAGTTTTAAATGTTTTTGGTCAAACATTCTTCTAAGTGGTATAGCACTGGTCTTTCAACTGATTGTACAGAGGTAACTCGTGGTTGCTGTGATGCTAAATACTGTGACACTGATGTGTCAAATGGTGATAATGGTTACCCATGGTGGACAGTGATGGAGCTCCCAGATTAAAACAGGAGTGGCATCCACTTCCGAAATAGCTTGCCTCGGGAAACTCTATGTACGTAGAGAAATGATGAAAGTTATACAAGTGTTCAAGGTTTTTCTTTCATAGGGTTGCTGTGAGTTTTTTACAGCTTGACAACACTTAACAACGAAAGCAAAACAAGGGAAAAAATTCTTGTCTTCTTGTTAGATTTTTGCTATGATTATTATGGCATATTACACCAAGCAAAAAAATAAACAGTTTTTAAGGTAGTAGTTTGATACTGATTTTCTAATCTTTGTAAAATAGATATTAAAAAACCAGACTGTGCAATGATTGCCTGGCAAAGTCTAGAAAGAGCTAAAGATTTAAGCAAGGGATAATTATAACATTCCTCACCATCATTCTATCTTTTGCATTTATTTGTTGTCTGTCATATATTCAGTTTCTTTGATCTTCTGATGATTAATAAGGTTATGAAGTTCAGTGGTGATTTTGTAAGTCCTTTAAATATGGTCATGATCATCTTCTCTAGAGTTTATGTACATATGTTTTGCATAGATAATATCAGAGCAAGACAGTTTTATGGTTTCAATCTGTGTGTTAGAACTGCTGTTGTAATAAACAACAGAAGGAAAAGCAGGAAAATGGCTTTTATGGGAAAATAAAAGAACAGAAAAGTAAATATTGTAACTTATGGACTTATTTCTAATACTTGAGAAATACATTTTGGAAAGTGAAAACCAAATATTGAAAGTGTCTAGAAAAATCAATACCTTTCAAGAAACTGGAAATTATATATTTTAGGAACTAAATATAAATTGTTGAACATTTAACAGTTAACAATTATATTCAATTCCATGAAATATGTTTGTTAACAGGACCGTGAACTGATTGACCCATTTCCAATACCCCTAGTTATAATTGGAAGTAAATATGATATTTTTCAGGTAAGCTATAAACTCTTTCCCTTAAGTTGAGTTTGTTCATGCCTGTCAGTGCCTTTTATTGAGGAAGAATAAACATAATGAAATAAGAATTACTCTCCAAGTGACTGGTCAAAGAGTCACACATCTTATAGATTTTGGAAGAGAATTCGGGGAGGGGGGAGGGAGGTAAAGAACCATAAGAGCAATGATTAGATTCTTGAGGGATCAGAAGATTTAGAATGATTTTGTAACACAGTCACAGGGGTATGCAACTCTTTTTCAACTTCTAAGTTGAATGAAGTAGAAAATTAGTTTCCTCTTAATCTTGTCAGAAAATCTTTGTGGCATTCTGTATTATAAAATGTGTGCTTAGACCTAAATTCTTTTGACTCAAATGTTTAAACAGAGGAAAAATCTGATAACTGTAGCTTTTGAAGCTGAAACGATTGTTCAACTCTCCATAGAAATAAATACCAAGGTAATGAAATCCTGCTTCTCAGAGTGTTTAAAAAAATAAGAAGTAATCTATTTTTACATTCAATGATTTGCATCATCTTGCTACAGACACTTATGACTCTCTGTTCTTTTTCTTTTTAATAACATATTTCTTCAGGAATTTGACTCTGAGAAACGGAAAATGATATGCAAGACTCTCCGATTTGTTGCACATTATTACGGAGCATCACTAATGGTCTGTACATTTCCTCACCTTTTAACATGAATGGGCAGTAATACATTTGGGAAGATTAGCAACTTTTAACACAGATAAAAATATCAGTGCTTATTCTAAGTACTTTTTCTTCCTCTTTCTTTAAGATTCACAAGATTTTTCCCCCATTCATTGATTGTTTTTTCTGTTCATTGATTATTGCGCATTTTCCTCCTACCCCTCCCCTGCTCCACTTTACAGTGCACTTTGTGTACACACTGTTATCATTCCCTCATTCTTTCCATAGTTCACAAAGACTTACAGGTGCTTCCTGTGTGCATTAAACAGTCTATATCTGTCTAGAGCAAACTGCACAGGAGTAAAACTTTTGAATTGCTTAGACCTATAACCCCAATTAATCTTAAAAGAGCTAAATTCAGTATTATTTACCTGCTTTATTATTTATCTATATATTCCTAAATGTCCCTTTAGACTACTACTAGTATCATAAAGGAAACATTAATTATTATATTGTAATAACTTACTAATTCAAATGATTAATTCTACATTATATTAGTATTATTATATTTCTCTTTATGGTATACTGCAATTCTGTGTGATCATTTTATAGTCTAATAATATAGTAATAAATATTGACTATTATATTACTGTACTATTGTTGTTGTTGAGTGCTGTTGAGTCACCTGTGACTCAAAGCGACCCTATGTACAATAGCCCTAAACCCTGCCTATCTTGTGCCAACCTCATTGACTCCAACACACCTACCCACACTACCCCAGTCACTGAATCAATCCATCTCATTGAAGGTCATCCTCTCTTGCGCTGTCCCTTCACCCTCCCAAGCATGACGTCCCTCCCCAAAGACTGATCCCACCTTGCAACATGTCTAGAATATGTAAGACAACTTCAGAATCCTTGCCTCCAAGGGGAAGCCTGGTCTCACCTTCTCTAGGATAAACCTGTTTGTTCTCCTGGCAGTCCATGGTATATTCAGCACTCTTCTCCAGCACCACAGCTCTGAGGCATCAATTCTCCTTCTATCATCCCTAGTCATTGTCCAGCTTTCTGATGCATAGCAAGTGATTGCAAAGCCTATGGCCTGTATCAAACACACCTTAGTCTCCTTATACTATTACACTAACTTATACTATTAGTATACTATAAATAGTATTATTTTTTACTATTTTATACTCTTTACTATGATAAATTTTTTATGTCCCTTAAGAATTCTTACTATGATAGGAAGCTCTGTGGTGTAATCCATAGGGAGTTGCCCTACTAACCCAAAGGTGGTGCTGTTCAAATGCACCAGCAGCTCTGCAGAGAAAAAATAACCTCTTCCTGTGTGATTTACAGCCTTGCAAGCCTACTGGAAGGTCAGCTATGACTTAAGTTCTGACTTGACAACAGTAAGTTCAAGTATAAGATTTTTTTAAGAATTGTAGTATGTATCCCCTTAAAAGAAAAGAAGTGAAAAACCAAACTGTGTATCTTTTTGTAAAAAAAAAATTATCAAAACAACTATGAGAGATAATCTCACCCCCGTAAGAATAGCAAAATTTAACAGAACAGCAAACAACAAATGCTGGTGAGGTTGTGGAGAAACTGCAACCCTTATTCAAACCCTTATTCATTGTGGTGGGAGTGTAAAATGGTACAACCACTATGGAAGTCTGTATGGCGCTTTCTCAAAAAGTTGCAAATAGAAATACCATTTGACCCAGCAATTCCACTGCTGGCATATACCCCCAAAAAGCCATAATTGCCACCTAGGCAGATATATGCACACCCATGTTAATCACGTCATTTTTCAGAATAGCAAAGAGTTGGAAACAACCTAAGTGCCCATCAACAAACGAATGGATAGAGAAGTTGTGGTATATTCACACAATGAAATACTACGCTGCTCTGAAAAACAAAGAACTCAAGAAATATTATACAAAATGGGTGACCCTGGAGGACATTATGCTGAGTAAAATATCTCAGTCACAAAAGGACAAATACTGCATAGTGCCACTGTTGTAAAACAGGACTGACATCGGGGTTGGAGAGAGACTGAGAAAGATGGGATAAATTATATATACTGCATTGAAACAGATGAGGGAGAGAACTGTTTAAAAGTGATATATGATTAGATATTTTTGTCATGGCAGGAGTCCAGAATGAAGGCTGCATAGTGAAGTGGACTTGGGGGCAGGGATTATATAACAATGAAAGAATTTTTCTTTTACTTTTCAAAGAGAAGAGTGAACTGGGGGGAGGGAGAAGTAGGCAGGAAGAAAAGTACAACAATGAATGAATGGAAATCTAAGTCTTTGCAAACTTTCATTAAAATTAATAATAAAAATTTAAAATGTTGTTAAAGAGGCGAAAGAATGCTGCCTGGATTCAGACCTCAGGACAGCCACTTTCTAAATATGTCATCCTTGACAAATCATTTTATCTCACTTATGCCTTAGTCTCTTCAAGAGTGAAACGAATAAAAGTCCTTCATGGAGTTATTGTAAGGATTAAAAGAGAGATTACCTGTAAAGTGCTTAGCATAAGGCCTGAAATAAGAAATGAGAGTATTGCTATTATCACTGTATTTAAATATATTTCCTTTCCATTTGAGTAATTTTTTCATAGTCTCATTGTTTTCCCACAGATCAAAGGTCTTATAGGAACCTTGGCATATTCCAACCCTCTGTGTTCATGGCTACAATATTACAACTTAAAAAAAAAGTATAAAATATATATTTACATTTTCTTGCACTTTTCACAACACTTAAATCTGTCTCATCATTCTATTTTTCTTAAAAAATGTAATCCTTTCTTTAAAAAGGTAATCCTTTTGTTTGAACTGTATTTTGAAAAAAGATTCATATTTACTGTTTTCAAGAGTGAGTGAATCTTCAGTGAATCGCTTGTCTAGAGTACAGAAGCAAAGATTGTGAGTTTTGAAGTTCCTCATTTTATACTGGATAAGTCAACATGTTAAATTCTAATTAAGTTAGCTTTAAGGTCTGTCTCTTTGTAGTACATGATCTTTGTAAATTTGTCTCAAACTAAAGGTTGACAGTTCGAACCCAGTAAGTGGCACCAAGAAAGAAAGGCATAGTGATCTGTTTCCATAAAGAGTGATCACCATATTTTTATGCAAATCCATAATATTCAACTCCTGTGCATTATTTTCATGAGTACACTGACAATGTTTTCAAATGTTTTTGACTTCAGTTTCAACTTTTTTCTCTGGTGAGTGGATTTAATGGAAAGATTTTTTTTTTCTTAGCCCCTGTTGATATGAAGGTTTGGGTTCCAGGAACAGAACCTTAGCACCTACTCTTGAGCTTCTAAAGCAATCCCTCTCCAGGCAAGATTCTTTCCCTTTTCTACAGACCTCTTTCTCCAGTGTGGGGATATGAGAGTAACCCTCTTTTATCATGGCATCAGCTCTCACCAGGGTGGGAAGCCCCAGTCCAGGAAATGCACCCACACGCAGAGAAGTCAGGCAGGCAGGCAAGGCCAGTATACCACAACCACACACATTCCTCCCTGCTGTCTGTCTGGCAGCCGCTACCCTCAGACCATTTCAGTCTCCCACTTGGATGGGGCCTTGCAGCAGGCATGAAAACCATGGGCAGAAAGATAACACAGCTGCCCTTTGTGTGAGATGGATGTGATTGGTGGTGCAGGGGCCAGTGGGACGGGGCCATGTGTATCCATACCATCCTGCTGCTTGGCTTCACATGGGCTGGCACTGCAGGAATCAGATACACTCAGGTAGTGTCCCCCAGACCAGCCCATACTTACACTGTGGCAGCCACACGTGCACACATCTTTGATACAGTGCACATAGACTAGTGTTATATACTAGACTGGTCACAAACTGTCCTAGTAAACACACAGATTCAGTTACTTATTTCCTGATTATGAGGGTGCTACTAAACTCAAGCTATGACCAGAGCTTCTTGGTCATGGCTTCTTTACTTTTGATATAAACTTGTTTAAAAAGAATAATATTTTCAGAATATTGAATGAAATAAAAAATCATTTCTGGAAATATAAAAAAGAGGAAAAATGTGCTGTATATGGCATAGTTGCTTTATGGCAGAACTTTTTACATTATTCATTTCCATCTGTCAGTGTGCATTTACGCTCCTTAGAATGGTCTCACTATTTAAAACACACACATGCAAACATAAAATAGAAGTAGCTTTATTTATCTTGACTCCTGGGTTGCCCTTAGAATCAAGTCAGCAGTAGCAGGTGTTTTTGAGCTAAGTTAGCTGTGCTTTGTAAACATTGAAGATTGAGGAGAATCCTTTAATATGGAATGAATAATACTAGATCATGAGTCAGCTTATCCTAATCTTACGGGTACCAGTTTAGATGAAAGACAGGTCAACCATGGCCCACAAGATCAGGGACAGGGAGAAGGTCTGGAAAGGACTTAACTTTCAGGAAGTCCTAGGAGACAGAGTCAGTGGAAGAGGCTCCTGTGGAGACCTGGGGCCCAGAGCCCAGAAAGCCTTCCTTTGTTTGCTAAGGAGTTATCAAAGCCTCACTTTTCTCTCAATTTCCCTTCCCCTGTGACCTTAACTGCTCTTCAGGACTCCATACTGTTCAATTTTTTTTTTTAAATCCTAGATAAAACAGTCAAGAATATAGATTCAATAAAATTAGCAGTCTAGTAACACAAATAAATATTAAAATAGAGCAAACTCAGTTAAGTAGGACCAGATTGAGAAGAGAGCTACTAGGATGGCTCAGCCCCTTGCCGTTGTCAGAAGTGACTCAGAGTTGATCTTCTAGAAGGCTTTTGGAGGCTGTAAATTGCACAAGAAGACATGGCCATAAGGCTGGCAGGAAATTAAAAATGGTGATATATGAGAACCAGCATAAAATCCTATTTTAACTGTTTTTGTTGTTGTGTGTCATCGAGTTGGCTGACCCATCGCTGTTTTCAGAGGCAGTTAATTGCACAGCAGGAGATTGCCCACCCTTTTCCCTCCAAGCAGCTAGTGGATTCGAACTTCATGCCTTAGGGATTACAGCACAACTTCTTATCATTCGGCCACTGGAGCTCCCTATTTTAACTGTCTGGAAGGTGATAATTCTCTTTAAATATCTGAAGGTCTGCCCTGTGACATCAAGAATGGTGATTCAGTGGAGTATGTTTAGTTTGAAATAGGAAAAAAATTTTCTAACACTATCATTATTTGAAAACGGAATGATGTGCTGTAGGAAATAAAGAGTTCCTGGGCACTGAGTTTGTTCTAGCCGAAGCTCCCAGCTGTTTGTGAAGGACACCTTAGGGGAGATTGGTGCCGTGTGTGGAGGAGGTGGGTCCTCTGGCTTTCTCGTTTTTTAAATGCATTCGCAATTACATTTTATTACTTTTTCATAAAGGGAAAATAAATACAAATGAATAGAAATTAAACAGCAATTATATATTTTAAAATTAATTAAAGTGTTCTATACTTTTACTAAAATACCATCTTGGTAGAAGCACTGAAATGATTTAATTTTTAAAATAAAGTACACTAAATATTATATATGTAAGCTCCCTGGGAGCTTATTTGCTTGTTTTTTATTTTCTTATTTATTGCCCATCTTTAAAGTAACAGGTCCTTTTAGAATTACACTCTGTGGGTTCTTTTGTTTCATAATATAAAAATATGATACTGAATTTTGGAATATCTTTTAAAAATGTTTTAATCCTTTTGTTGTATTTTAGGTAAAAATATACATAACAAATTCATTTTCTCTCAAGTAGTCCATACATGAATTGCTCTGTGATATTGTTTGCAATCCCTGCAGTGTGGCAGCACTCTCCCTGATTCCTCCCTGGATTCCCAGTTTCCACTTGTCTGGTTTCCACATCCCTTGTTTGCTCATTTTTTGGTGATTCTGAGGAGCACATTCTCACTGTGTTGCTGGTCTAGTCTCAGCAATGGTCTGATTGGAAGGTGACTGCCAGGGTACCTTCCGTTTCCAGTTAGAAACATTTCCCTCTAGTCTGGTTTGGGGGTTTTCTCTGTTTGAATTGGAACGTTGTTCTACTTTTTTAAAAAATCCATTCTCACTGGGACCTGTCTTGTGGCCTGGATCAGAGTGGTCAGTAGTAGAAGCTGGATACAACCTACCTCTTAGGTCTCAGTTTTAAGGAGGCTGAGGTTCATGTGAGTCCTTTAGACTTAACGCTTCTTTGAGTTCTCATTTCTCTTACTTCTCTATATTCCAGGTGTGTAGTTGCTCTTGGATGGCCTTTCACAAGCTTTTGGGACCCCAGATACTATTCACCATTGTTATCTTTAATAGTTGTATTTTCCCAGTTGACCTAAATGTCCTCAGAACTGATAGTCTTTTTAACCTTCAGACCCAGTGGTTTAATCTTGATGACTGAGTAGTTTTATAACTCTGATTCCTTTACTAGGAGTCTGTTCTTAATACAGAATGAAATTTTGCTTGTAAAAATGCCATCACAACTATGAAATTAATCTTTTTGCCTGATAGTGATGTTCCATTTTGGCTCAGAATTTTTATTCTCTCTTTCATCCATCTTGGTCATTCCGGTTCACTTGATTTAGCTCTGAGTGGCTTATATCTCCAAAAATCATATCTAGTTTGAAAAGGTTTATAGGATAACCTAATTACTATTCTGCCTAATTGTTGATAGTACCAATCCATATCCAAAGCAAGAATATTCAGTACCTCATTTTGGTAGGGGCTGTGAATTAGGATCAACTTAATGGCAGTGCTTTTGTGTTTTATTTTTGTTTTTAAGGCATTGCAAAAGAGAATCTAAATTAATTTTCGTGACAATCAGTCCATTCCCACATTGTCTTGTTTGAAGGCAGTAGCATGCCATTGGATGTAAAAATTACTTATGATGCTGTTGTTGTGGTGGTTATGTACTTTTGAGCTGGAACTGACCCATAGCTGGATTTCCAGTGGTTTTCCAGAGTCAGTGAATTACAGCCGAGGAGATTGCCCATCTGTCTCCGGTGGAGTAGCTTGGTGGATTCGAGCTGGGTTGGCAGCACAATTCCTTACCCACTAGGCAGCCATAGCCCTCCTAATTTCTAATCAGTGAGATTGCATTTGGAAAACTTTTTTTCATCTAGACTATAATAAAAGTATGTGAATGTATATTTATACCAAAAAATATTTACATAAAAAACAGATTAATCTTGGAGAGGATTAAACCAAGCTACTCCTTGGAGGCAAGGATTCTGGGGCTTCGTCTGACATACTTTGGACATGTTGCCAGGAGGGACGGGTCCTTGGAGAGGGACATCATGCTTGGGAGGGTGGAGGGACAGCGCAGGAGGGGAAGACCCTCTGAGATGGATTGATTCGGTGACTGGGGTAATCGGGATGGGTGTGTCAGAGGCGGTGCGGTTGGTGCAGGATAGAGCAGGGTTTAGGGCTGTTGTGCATAGGCCGCTATGAGTTGGAAACGACTCGACGGCACATAACAACAACAACAACAAAATTTTTAAACAATTCCTTTGGCAATGACTATAAAATCCTTAAGTAGAAGTAGCTGAAATGATGAGTACATGAACACAAATCTATGTTATTATTGTTATGTACTTCTGAGTTGAAACTGACTCATAACTGCCCCTCCAATGGGTTTTTCCAAAACAGTAAATTGCATAGGAGGAGATTGTTCAGCTTTCTCTTGTCAAGCAGTTGGTAGATTCAAACTGAACCTTTAGGTTGGCAGTGCAATTCCTTATCACAAAGCTACCAGATGTCGTATCTTGCATACATGATGTGTAAAAAGTTCAAACATTTCTTTCCTTTTATAGCTACATTTGTTTTCCTCTACAGAAACATAGATATTTGGTAGGCAAGTAAATAACAATTCTCTTTTCACTATGTACTTGTTCAAAGCCATATTTATTTTAGCAATTTTTATGTTTAAAATAAGTAAATAGTATATAATTTATTCTCCTGATTTTTTTTTTTAGTTTACCAGTAAATCAGAAGCTTTATTGCTAAAAATTCGTGGAGTCATCAACCAATTGGCATTTGGTGTTGACAAAAGGTAATGTTTTACTTTTATATAACTTGGGGTTTTTTAAACAATGTGTCCTATCAAATTATCTTTCTCACCAAATTTTTATTTCTTGCATGGCTAAGTGCTCTGGATGACTATTCTCAAAAAGACAATGTCACCTTATCTCCTCCTTCTTTTATCATTTACTGTTGCACAGATTTTACAACTGAGATGCTGTTATGTACTTTCTGACCAAAACAAAATGATCCTTTCACTCATATTTCCCTAATTTCTTTTATTTCTCCTGCCATCTCTTCCTTTTTAGGAGCTCTTTCTTGTCCTAACTTAAAATGGAGTGGATCATTTTAGTATGTATCTTTCTTAGCCTAGATATTTGTCTTTGTTTTCATTTTAAGTAATTTGGGTCTGTTATTTTTGTCTCCTATAAATCCTTTATTCATGTTATACTTTTAATTTTTTTAAAAAGCTCAAATTAATATTCATTCACTGAAGCAATGCTCTTCTCAGTGGCTATGTGTATATAACTTTGCTCTACAGTTTATAGTGGAGTTTGGTAGGATATTCAATTACTAAACTAAATTGCATTCTTTTTTTCCCCCCTTATTCATGTAGCAATTCGAAATGTGTGGATCAGAATAAGCCACTCTTTATCACAGCAGGATTGGATTCTTTAAGTCAGATAGGTTGGTGAACTTATTAAGATTATTCAATCATTTTGTAATTGTTTATTGATTTTATCCTAGGCCACTTGGTCTTCAACATACCACCATTTCTAGTTCCATTATGAATGTTGTTATTTCATATCTATTTATATTGTGTTCACAATATTGATATAACACGCATCAGTGATGTATTTGTGGTGAAAGGAATGTCACCGTATGGCCTCTTTTCAACTAAAAAAAACTGTATGCCTCCCTTCTCCTTCACTAATTCCAGGTACTTTTCAATTTCAGCTCCTTGAGTTTAGAAGAAACCAGAAAAATAGAGGCACCAGGAAATAAAAATTACATATTATGACCAATGATTAAAAAAAATTAAATTCAGTGATAAAATAAAAAGGACACATAATTAAATTAAGTATACCTTTATTTTTTCATTATACAATTAGATAAATATATCTAAAGGAAGTTTCTATTTTATAAGGTTATATTCCCTTATATATGGAATAACCCCCTAGATGGGAGCTCTGGTAGCCTAGTGGCAAGAAACTACGCTGCAGTCTCAAAGGCATGCAGTTCAAGACCACTAGTTGCTCTGCAGGAGAAAGATGGGCATTCTCCTCCTGTGTGATAACTGCCTCTGAAAACTTGCTGGAGGGTCAGGAATGGGTCTGCTCTGATTCTGCAGTATACATAGCAGCAGCAGCAGCATACTTTGTCCATATAGGGAGCTCTGGTGGCCCTAGTGGTAAGAAGCTGCACTGCAATCCTGAAGGCATGCAGCTCAAAACCACCAGCGGCTTCGCTGGAGAAGGATAGGCACTCTCCTTCCATGGGAAATCTCCTTCTATGTGATTACAATTAACTGTTTTTGAAAACCCACCGGAGGGTCAGTTATAGGTTGGTTCCAACTCAACAGTACACAACAACATGCCCTATATGCTCTAGAAACAAATTTTAATTTGTACAGTGATGTCTTTTATCTTCCCCTAGAAGCTAATTTTATTGGATAATCTTTAAATCTAGCAACTCTCCACACTGTGGGTGGCATAATTTGGTTTTAAAATTCTAATAGGCATTTAAGGAACTCTGGTAGCTTAGTAGTAAAGCACCCCAAATCTACCAGCTGTTCTGTGGGACAAAGATGGGCAGTTCCTTCCTATACTGCCTCTGAAAATGCCCTGCAGGGTCAGCTGTGGGTCAGCTCCAGCCTGACAGTACGTAACAACAATCATGGGCACTACTTTTCTCTTTTTATTCCATTCCTCCATTATTCTTACAGGGTGACTCAAGTTCAGTTGTGGAGCTGTCAGTAATGAGACTATAGATTGAAATTAAGGAAAAGGAGCACAGAAGTGGTTTTCCTTAATAAATGATCATGAAATGGACTTTTTAAATTATTATTAATATGAACTTAATTCTGTATCGGTGAAAATCACTGAAGGAACTGGTGGATAATAATGCTCATTGAACTATTGCCTGGGTGAATAGTTAGCAGTCAGAAAAAGACTGAGATAATGAATTCAAAAGACAATATGAAGCGTCCAAAAATTTTAAAAAACATTTTGTTCCATGAAAGTCGATGTGAAGAAGGTGAAAAAATAAGCTACACACTGAAAAAAAAATTCAACTCACCAGTCTGACAGAGAACTGTTGTTAAATACCCTGGAGTCAACTCCAACTCGTGGCAAACCCATGCGCAACAGCTGACAACACCGCCTGATGCTGGGCCAGCCTCACAGGCCCTGCTGAGGTGAAGCCCTTTCTTTTCGAGTTGTTGTGCCAGTCTGTCTCATTGAGGGTCTTCCTCGTCTCTCCCTCCACCTTTTCAAGCATGGTATCCTTGCCCAGGGACTATTGTCTCCTGACAGCTTGCCCAGAGTACATGAGACAAGCGTCCCCATCTAAATAGTGCAATGGCTGTACTTCTTCCAGACGGATCTGTTCTTTTCTTAGTCCTTGGTATATTCAGTACTCTTTCCAAATACCGCAGTTCAGAGGCCTCATTTCCTCTTCAGCCTTCCTTATTCACTGTCTAACTTTCACATGCAGATGAAGCAGTTGAAAACATCATGGCTTTTGGCATGTGCACTGTAGTTCTGAGAATGGCATTCTTGCTCTTTGGCACTTTAAAGAGATCCTTGACAGATTTGCCCAATGTATACCATTGGTTTCTTTTCCCCCCATAGTAATAAGCAATGTTTAGCAGGACCATGCATCATTCTCAGTTTTTTAATGAATCTCCACTGAAACCTTACCAAATTTTCACTCTCATTAACCCATTTTATAAATAAGCAAATAAAGCACAGGAAAAAAAAGCTTACATGGAGCTAAAAAAATTATTCATTCAGCAAGAATCCTTAGAAGCTTGCAACATAGAAACATAAGTTATGGAAATGTATGCATATTCTATGCTCCTCTCTAAACCAAACCTCAGGTCAATTTCAACTTGTAGCAACCCTATAAGATATAGTAAAATGGCTCTAAATGTTGTTAGAATATTTATGATCTAATACAGTTTTTGGAGAACACAATGCTTCATATCTCTCCTGTGGAATGGTTGATGAGTTTGAACTATTGACCTTTTGGTTAGTAGCACAATGCTTAACCCTCTGTGCCACCAAGACCAAAGAAAGGGCTGACAGTTGAATGACAAGATGTTCATGTGAATCAGGTTTCAAAATGTGGTAATAATGAGAAGATTTCAAGGAAAATGTGTTGACAATCATTTGGATTACCTTTCAGTTGAACTGCTCCTAGACCCCTGCCAGAATCCTTGGGAGATTGGACTGCATTAAAAATGAAAGCTAAACTCCAGAAGACTGACTTGCCAAAAATCTGTCTCCTGTGTTAAGTATATGAAATGGCATCAGCAACTTCATTGACTGGTGCTTCCCTGAGTGTTGATTGTGGATCCATGTAAAATGGAGTTCTTGATGGCCTCGGTCTCCATCTGTCATGATGTTGCTTATTGGTCCAGTTGTGAGGCTTTTTGTTTCCTTGATGTCGAAGTATAATCCGTACTAAGGATCTTTGATCTTCTTCAGTAAGTCCTTCAAGTCCTTTTTACTTTCAGAGTAAGCTTGTGTCATTTCTGATATACTTGAGTCCATTGTTACAGTCACTAGCTCAGTCCATCTTGTTGAGGGTCTTCTCCTTTGCTGACCCTTCACTTTTCCATACATGATGTCTTTTTGCAATTACTGGCCCCTTCTGACCTTACGCCCAAAGAATGAGATGAAGTTCCATCATCCTTGCCTCAAAGGAGCAGCCTGGTTGGACTTCCTCTAAGACAGACTTGTTTGTTCTTTTGGCAAGTGATAGGGGGCTGTGTACGTGGGTGTTGTGTTGCGGTGGTCTCTGGAGAAAGGTGACTCTGCCTCCAGGAGACAGGGAAGCCACGCTTGGCCTTGGGTTGAAGGCAGCAGCGGCTTCAAGCCCAAAAGGAGAAGAGGAGAGAGGAGGCGGCCATAATCTCCCAGGTTTGTGTTAATAGTTGGCTACCCAATGTGGACAGAGAGTGGGGTGGAGCTCCCCTATTAAAACTAGCGTGGAAGGAGGAGTGGCATCCACTTCCATAATAGCTTGCCTCCGGAAACCCTATGAACCTGGAGAGAGGATAAAAGACACCCAGGTATCGAGGACTCTCCTTCTTCGGGTTGCTATAAGTCAGTCACCTGTGACTCGACGGCACTTAACAACAACAACATAATTCAAAGCCATTGATTCTTCCTTTGGTCATCCTTATTCGTTCTCCAACTTTCAGATGCATAGGAAGTAATTGAAAAGACCATAGCTTGGATCAGACACACCTTAGTCTTTAAACTGACATTGTGGCTCTCTGGCACTTTTTAGAGATCCTTGGCAGCTGATTTTTCCAGTGCAACACATCTTTTGTTTTATTGACTGTTGATACTATGGGTGTTGTTGTAAATCCAAGTTAAATGAAATCCTTTACAGCTGCAGTCTTTTTTTCATCTATCATGATAATTGGCTATTGATTTAGTGGTATTTTTATTTTCTTGACCTTGAGCCTTAACCCATATAGTCTTTGATATGTTTTATCACCGTTTTTTTGAGAAAAGACACAAATATGCATATAATCAGTAAGTCAGGTAAACTGTCTTCCAAATTTCTTGACATAGACAAGTAAGCACATGCAGGGCTCCATTTGTCTGTTGAAATATCTCAATTGGTATTTCATAAGTTCCTGTAGTTTTAATTTTTTAATTGGTGCCTTCAGTACAACCTGGACTTCTTCCTTTAGTGCTGTTGGTTCTTGATCTTATGCTACTTCCTGAAATGGCTGTTGTTGTTCTTGTTGAGTACCATCGAGTTGGAATGGACCCATAGCTGATCCTCCATCAGGTTCTTAGAAGCAGTAAATTGCATGGGAGGAGACTGCCCATCCTGTTCCCTAGGAGCAGTTGGTAGATTTGAACTTGTGTACTTTCGGTTGGCAGTGCAACTCCTTACCACTAAGCCACTAGTGCCTGCCACTGACCAGTTCTTCTTGATATGGTGACTTTGTGTAAAAGAAGACATCCATTTTCTTTAGATGCTTCCTACATCAGTCAATCTTTTGCATGTAGAATCCTTCAGTCTTGTAAGTTAAGGCTTGAATTTTCCCTCCAGTTCTTTCAACCTGAGAAATGCCAAGCAGGATCTTCCCTTGTTTTCTAACTACATCTTTGCATGTTTCATGAAAATAATATTCTTTGTCTTCTTAAGGTGTCCTTTGAAATAATCTACTCACCTCTCTTCATCAATTCTTCCTTCTGTTTTAGCTTTTGTATGAGATCAAGTTTCACAGTCTTTCTTCATATTTTTAATGACCTTTTGCTTTCTTCATATTTGATGTAATCGCACAACTCATCTGGTCTTTGGTCATTAATGTTCAGTGCTGTTCTTGAGATGGTTTCGTTGTTGTTGTTGTAGTTGTTTTTTATTGCCGTCAAGTCAAGCACGACTCGTGACCCTATGAACAAAAGAAGTGAAGCCTTTTTATAACTTTAGTCATTTAGGTTTCTAAGTTAGGTGAGATAAATCCAGGCTCTCATGGGCTTGTTTTCATTTTCTTCAGCATTAGTTTAAACCTGAAAATGTCTGTTCCATACAGAATTCTATCACGAGATATGCAGCTGCTTTCCTGTAACCAACGCTGTATTTTCCTATCACCAATCCTTTTTTGTTTTCAACTTTTGCATTCCAATCACATTATTACTAATACATCTTTTAAAATTTTTTATTATTTGATGATGATGACTATGTGTGTATGTGTCTCTGTGTGTCTGTACCGTCTAATCCAATTGGTACAAGAGGAGATTGCCCCTCCTCCAGCGAAGCATCTGGTGGTTTTGGACCACGCACCTTGGGGATTGCAGTGCAGATTCTTGCCACTAGGCCATCAGAGCTCCCTCAGTTATTACTAATACATCTTGATTGCATAATCAGTCTGTTTCAGACTGCAGAAGTGGAGAGAAATCCTCAGTTCCTTCCTTTTTGGCTTTAGTGTTTGGTGCATGTATGTGAATAGTAGTAATAGTAGTGCAGGTCTTCTTTGTGTGCATGTGTGTGTTACCATGTCACTGACAGCTTTGCACTGATGGATCTTGAAATGTTGTTTTTGACAATTCATCCAACACCATTCTTCAATTTATTGTTCCCCACATAGTAGGCCAGATGCAAGATACATGCTGATGAGTATACAAAGTGGCATATGAGCACGTGTAAAGGGGTTTTGGCATCACTAGCCATCAGAAAATGTGAGTAAAGCTATAAGTGAGATATCACCACACGCCTCTCAGACTAGCTAAAATGGAAAATAATATTAACACTTAAGTGCCAGAAAGAACGCGGTGCAAGCATCACATGTTGCTGGTAGAAATGGAAAAGAGTCCAGCTGCTCTAGAAAAGTATGACAGTTCCTTACAAAATTAAACCGACAGCTGTCATAATAAAGAACTTCATTTGGGCATTTATTCCAGAGAAATGAAAGTTTGTTCGTATAAAAATCTGTACCAAGTGTTCATAGCAGTTTTCTTTTTAATAGCTAAAAACTGGATCAGCCCACATATTATTCAATAGTATTATGCTGAATTGAAAATTACCACTTACAGAAGGTTGTCTACGTCAAGATTCTATGCATATTACTTTTTTTTACATTTTTAAAGTGACAGATTTTTAAAACTAGGGGATAGATTAGTCCTTGCCAAGAGTTGGGAGCAGGGCAATGGGTAAAGGGTGAAGGGAAGGGAGCAGAGAGAGATGGTGACGTGAGGAGACTCTGTCATGGAAATATTCATTGAATTGAATATGTTTGTGGATACATACCAGATCTATTAAAATTGTGTAGCATTTAATACACATACACACATGCATACTCTCATACTCACAGATTAATTAATGAGTGCAAATAAAACTTGAGAAACCTCAGTAAGATGGGTGGGTTGTATCAGTGTATTTGCCACAAAACTGGCAAGAAGGTTCTAGATACCAATGGTAGGAGGTTCTTGGTGAATAATACAGATACTAGAATAGATAGAATGAAATTCTCAGGTTAAAATTAAATGTTACTGCAAAGTGACAAGTTTTTAAAATTTTTCAATTCATTTATACTGAATAAGCAACACATAAATGCATTACTTTTATAACAAGCTAGCATACTGTGTGTAAAGATTAAGTTTGATGTGTATATTTGTTACCATTTTCTACACATTTCATACATGTACTTCTCATTGCCATCGAGTCAGAATCAGTGCATAGCTGACCGACCCTTCAGCTTTTCAGAGGCTGTAGCTCACATGGGAGGAGATTGCCTGTTTTTCTCTTGCAGAACAGCTAGCTGGTTGTTTTGAACCACCTACCTCTGAGTTGTCAGCACAACTTTTTATCCACTAGGCCACCAGAACTCCCTAGGTAGGTGTATGGTATAGAATAAAAAACAAAAAACAAAACAAAAAACACAAGTCCAAAACTGTGTGTTTAAACATAATACTGTCATTCTGTAGTTATCATTATAAAATTTGCCAGTCTTCCCACTCAGTATAACACTTTTTTATAACAGTTTTTCCATATCAGTGCTACATGTAAGTTCATTGGTTGTTTTAACTGCTGTATAATATTACAAATGTAACAGTGTATCATTCCCCTATTGATGTGTGTGTTTTGAGTAGATGGCTTGTTTTTCACCTACACAGATGCTATTGCAGCACAGAATTCTTAATAAATGTATGTCGGGGGAGGGTTTGTTTTGGTGGTTTTTTTTGTTTGTTTTTTAGGGAGCTCTGGTGGCCTAGTGGGTGAAGAGTTGTGCTGCCAGCTCAAAGGTGTGTGGTTTGAATTCACTGGCTGCTCCAAGGATAAAAGGTGGACATTCTCTTTCCATGTGGTTCACAGCCTCTGAAAACCCACTGGAGGGCCAGCTGTGAGGTAGTTCCCACTGAATGGCACATAACAACAAAAAAGTGTGTTTAGAGTAACCACCATGCACTAGAGTGGCTGCTTCACACAGTACAATCTTTTTCAGCGTTAGTGCCAAATCAAGCCTAAACCCACTGCCATCGAGTTGACTGCAGCCAACAGCTACCCGTCATCAGGTTTCTAAGGCTGTAAACTAGTGAGAGCAGACTCAGCCTTCCTTCTCCCACCCAGCAACCATGCATTCAAACCACTAAACTTTCCGTTAACAGCTCAGCAGGTGTTAACTGGCCACTGGGCCACCAGCATCAAATTACTCCCCAAAATATCAATTCCAATTGGTGTCTTATTAGCAGCTCTTAAAAGACTGTCTCTTATCATTATCACACTGTCAAATTTTTTTGTGTGGAGAATGAGAACCACAATTGCCCTCCTCCTCTCCTCCTCTGTCTCTTCCTCTTGTACTCTGCCTCAGTCCTTTGCTATAGAGGGTGGTGGTCCATTTTAATTGCATTAGGGGGAACAAAATGAATGATCTAAAGTTTGTTTTTTCTTCAGTTGTCATCTGTTTCATTGATGGTGCCTGTAATTGTGTGACTGTGCACTTATTTGGAATAAAACTTTGGCTTTTAGGATCCCCTCCTGTTCCTGATAATGAAATTGGAAAGCTTCATGCCCATTCACCAATGGAACTGTGGAAAAAAGTATATGAAAAGCTCTTTCCACCGAAGGTGTGTTTCTGCTTCTTTTATTTTGTTGTTATTGTTGTCTTAAAATATTTTCTTTTGGGTACAATGATGATGGACACCATATTGATATCATTTATCAAATTTTTATACCTTTTTAAAAACTTAACTAGTGTTACTAAAAATCAAGATGTTGGTTTATGGTTCTTTTTACATTACATAAATGAACAGTTTGTTAAATACTAAGTTTTTCATCCCTTTTAAAGTAACTAAGTCTGAAGTTCCCAGCTAAAACAGTAGAAGCTGTGTCAGGCCGCCTGTTTTCTCCTGAAGTGCTCATGGACGGCCAGGGCTTTGAAGTAGTTACAGGAGCCCCAGGACAGATACTTGAGTTTAGTGCTGAGTTTACATGTGGATGTAGTGAAGGTGTCGTGGCCCCATCTGTATTCCTGGTGTGGCAACTCCCACGCCGAACAGGCCCACTGGATCCCTTGTCACTGCAGCCCTGGCTTAGGCTGGAGCTGGCACATCCTCACGTGTATTGGAGTTACTCTGGGAGTCATTTGGCATCTGGGTGCTGACGTCTTTGGCAAGGCAGCTGCAGGAAAAGGCCACAGAGAAACAGAGGCATTAAGGATCACCCAGCCAGGGAGGGCAGAGGTCAGAGAGAGGTCACACTTGGATCAGCCTGTGCTTTTCCGGCAGAAACTCATTAAAGCCAGTAACATGGTGGGGCGAAGTTTCGGGACAGATGTCAGTATGATGCAGTGAAACTTTATCAAACCCTGAGCAGCGCTCGTTATGGATATCCACTTCCTAAACAACATTCTTCCGGAAACTCAGTGAACTTTGAGAAATGTCGATGGTTAGAGACAGGCTTTGGGCCTTTAGTTCATAGGGTCACCATGAGTCGGGCTCAACTCGACGGCACTCAGCAACAACATGGCGGGGTGAAGTTTCAGGGCAAGATGTCAGCCTGGCTCAGAGGAGACTTCCTGCAGTGAAACTTTATTGAATCTTGAGCAGCATTCATATGGATGTAACAAGAATTTTTAGCACTATTTAACAGTTATTGGAAATTGTTCCAAAGGGTCTGTGATAATGAGTATTTGTATCTATTGTGTTATAATAGATTTTTATGTCTTTTAGAAATGATGTTAAAAATCATTTGCTTAAGGTTTACTGGGTGCAAGGCCGTGTAAGGGTTAAAAGATGAGTAAAACCCAGTTTCTTCTTTACTTTAATACAGAATTCACTGCATGTTAGGGAAGCGAGCGATGGTATCTTAAATGAGGGGAGACAAAGGGCTGATGATCATGGAAAGACTTGAAGAGGCCACAAAAGAGATGCTTGACATTCAGATCAGAGCACTTCCGGGTGGGCAGGGGAAGAGGCCTTGTTTTAGGCAGATTGCAAAGGGTAGGGTTGGGCCCTGAGCGTGAAATCTTATGCAGATTTGTAATTTCAGAATATCAACACCCTAAAAGATGTTACAGACCCGGCGCGAGATCCTCAGTATGCCGAGAGGGAAGTTGATGAGATGCGAGTTCAGAAGGACCAGGTATTAGCCTAAACTTTCAATTTAGTTAATCTAGAGGGTTTTTAAATAAAAGTATTAGAATTATGGAATTCCATAATTCTTTTTCTTCATCTATCTCTATAGGGTTTTTTTTTTTTTAAAAAGTGGGTTTGAGGGGTTTTTTTTTAATATTTGAAATAGTACATCTTCACTAGGAGTCAGTAATGAACTGCTATTATTGATAAGCATATCTGTATATTTCACGATAATCACTTTTATTAGGTTCTTTTAGTGTTAATAATACAAATATTGTTGACAAATTGACCATTGGTAGATGGTGGTAGCTGTACTTTTGGATGCATTGACCAGAAAAGGCGTCTAGGTCACACCAATTGCTATAATCCCTTGGCTAAAGATTTTATTTAGCATACCTGAAAAGTTATAATATCCTAAATTTGCCTGTAAACTGGTGTCATTATTGTTGCTACAGTGAATTAATTGCATTAGTTTTAGATATTAATTTAATGTACATGGTACATAAACAAAATTTTACGCTTCTCTTTTAAAGCTATCCTAATAATTACCCGGTTACTCAGTTATTAAATTGATATGCAAAGTTAACATTTAAAATTCCACTATCTCCATTTTTACATTTTTTATATCTTATGTTTTCCTAAAGTGGCTTTGTTGTTTTAGTTGTTACGATGTTCCGTCAGTTGGAGCCAGTGCATAGCTGACTCTGCAGTGGGTTTTCAGAGGCACAAACTTCTCGTGAGCAGACAGCCCATCTTTTCCCTGCGGAGCAGCTGATGGGTTTGGACCACGTGGCTTTGGGTCGGCGGTGCAGCCCCTTACCATGGGGCCACCACATGAAACTGATTGAGGTTCATATTTTCACAGACTAATTTTGAAAACTTCTGCTAGATTTTCCACTAAATATTTAAAACTACAGTTTCATTCTTGTAAAACTTGGTCTTTCCCATAGATTAATGGAATAGAATTGAGAACCCAGAAATCAGCCCATCTATTTATGGTCAACTGATTTTTGACAAGGAGATTAAATCAGTTAAATGGGGAAACGACAGCCTTTTTAACAAATGGTGTTGGCAGAATTGGAGAACTATCTGCAGAAGACTTAAGCAAGATCCACACTTCACTCCATATATAAAAACCAACTCAAGGTGGATCATCGACCTAGGACTAAAACCAAGGACTATAAACTTCATTAAAGAAAAGCTTGGAAGAACGTTAGTAGTCCTAATCCACAACTTAAACAGTCTTCCAAATGTCCTGAAAAATCTACAGCCAGGAGAAGATAAAATAAATGAATGGGACCTTCTAAGAATCAAATCCCTATGCACATCCAAAAACTTCTCCAACAGGGTAAAAAGGGAAGCCATAGACTGGGAAAAAGTATTTGATAATGACATGTCAGATAAGGACTTATATCTAGAATTTATAAAATACTTGAGCACCACAACAAGATAAATAATCCAATTGAAAAATGGGTACAGGATATGAACAGACACTTCACCAAAGAAGATCCCATGAAGAAATGTTCAAAATCCCTAGCTCTAAGAGAGATGCCAATCAAGACAATGATGAGATATCATCTCACCCCAGTAAGACTAGCAAAATTTAACAGAACAGCAAGCAACAAATGCTAGCGAGGTTGTGCAGAGACTGGAACCCTTATTCACTGCTGGTGGGAGTGTAAAATGGTGGAACCACTATGGAAGGCAGTATGGAACTTTCTCAAAAAGTCACAAATAGAGATACCATTTGACCCAGCAATTCCACTACAGGGAATATGTCCTAAAGAGACTGTAACTGCCATCCAAGCAGATATATGCACGCCCATGTTTATTGTGGCTTTGTTCACAATAGCAAGGAGTTGGAAACAACCTGAGTGCCCATCAGCAAACAAATGGATAGAGAAACTGTGGTATATTCACACAATGGATTATTACGCTGCATTGAAAAACAAGGAACTCATGCAATATTATTCAAAATGGGTTACTCTGGAGGACATTATGCTGAGTGAAATATCTCAGTCACAAAAGGACTAATACTGTATGGCACCATACACATACACATACACTGTTGTAGAATGAGGCTGACATCAGGGTGGGGACAAGACTGAGAAAAACTGGATAAATTATGTATACTGCATTGAAGCCAATGAGGGAGAGAACAATTTAAAAGCAATATATTTTAGGGCATTATCATTATCATAAGAGTTCAGAATGAGGGTTGCAGAGTGGAGTATACTTGGTGTG